GCCTAATCTTATGCTTCATAGTGGAGCGTTGGAGACGGTTGGTTTAGGTCCGGCATCGTTGGCTCATGCCTTCCCCTCTCTGATGAACCATTGCATAAGAGAACCAAAGTTCTAGCCTGAAGTGATTGTATCACACTTGTTACTCCTTTATTTGAAAGCCGCGTTGTAGTACGCTTACGTGGCACTGACTTTGGGTGCGATACTGGCGGTTTTGCCGCAAATCACTATTATTTTATTTAGTTTTACGCAGATAGATTTATTTGAGTTTGCAAGGGAATTATACTATTGCAATCTTTCAGAAAGTGCCCAACAGTACTCCTTCTACTTGCGTGACAAGCTTTCGTTGTTGTTTTCATTGAAGTATTACTCAGGGAACAATGTTAAACACCATTTTTGTACATGGTATTGCAACTAATATTATATGTGCTTCATTTTGATTTGGGATAAGTGTTTGAACTATGGCTCGGGATTTCCACTGTGGCGTGCTTCTATTGTGACATAACCATATGTATTTTTGTGGTGCGACATAGTGGAAACGTTTGAGCGTAGTTGAAGCATATACCCTATGTAATTTAAAAATCAGCTAGGAAACTAACTTCAAAGTGAAGCATTTTAGTCACTTGAAGGTGTCACCTGGGACGAACTAATATATATTAAATATAGGTCAAAGTCAAAAACAACTTGAAACACGTTAAATTTTAGATTACATTCACAAGTAAATAAAGCATGGTAGGTCGATTAGAGATTTCAATTATTTATTAAATTAGACTAGAGATATCATAATCATCAAACGAACTTAAATAAGAAAATTTAGACAACCTATTAGCATTAAGTGGATTAACAGAAGAGTTAGGATGCGGAGGGTCCGCTTAGGGAGGCAACTAGCCTTTAAGGTTCAATTTGCTTTGATGCATTTTTTGGGGGTTCAGGAGCGGTTTTTTTCGGCGCGTTGTTTTGGATTGCAGAAGGCTCGCGTCATTTTGTTTAAAATATCAAAAGGAATCGAATAGTGCGAGCTTTTTGCAGTCTGAAGTGGTTCATCGGAAGGGGCTGCTTTTAAAGTTTTCCGAGGGGCATCGGGGTGGATTGAACCTTGAAGCAACTGGCAACTAGCCTTTTCATGTATTGTCTGGTTATTTTGATTATTGCTTTAAAATATCAATTTGGTATATATGTGAAAGGATGAATCAGTGGGAGATGGAATTTCGGTTTCTTTACATTTAGCATCACTATGTGTCATTTCCTCAAAACCCCCCAATAACCGGCCTCTTCAATCCCTTCCTTTTCCCATGGCGTTCAAGTGGTCCGCATAGACTATTCAGCCATTACCCGTCCTTTATCCTCGGCTTTGGATTGACTTGTGCTCCCATTGCCCCACCAAACGCTGCAAAATGAAAATGAAAATGAAATGAGTCAATTCATACTCTCGGTAGGTTTATTTTCTTCCATTTCTTTTCTAGAAAAACAAAATAAGAAATTGTTTTTAATTTGGACACGTTCAAAAGCAATAAAAACATTGCTCTTAAATACTTTGTTTCAATTTAATTGACAACACTGGATACGATGATAGATGATTGGTACACACACCTTCGTAATGTAGTATGTAGAAAAAAGGTAAACAGAACAATTTCAGCTTACAAAATTATTCGTGGCTCGCGTTTTTAACGATGCGAATTATATTATTTAAGGAAATATTTTGATGAGAAAGTGTGCAAATATTTATCCAGATCTTATTCATACAATTTTGGCCTATTTTTTAAGGTATGTAATTAGTAATTTACTATTTTGTAGGAAGATGTCTTTCGTACGCATACCAAAACACGTTTATTTAATGATTTAGGGACAGCCATCGTTGCATGACGTGTCGTATCACCTTAAGTGTATATGAGTCAATTAATACTTTCAGCTTAAAAAAAATACTTTCTGTAATTTTTCTTTTATGTTTCTCACAAATAACTTCCGGAAAATTAAAATTTGCCGTCCTTTTAAAATTGCGATCAATTTCGTTTTTTGTTGAATATTAACAACCGGTAAATTTTTAAGATTTGATCCGGGAAAACCGACATAAAACCGGGAATTTTGAAATGAAAATTTGCTGGTCACCCAGTCTGGTTCAGCAAACTCGTTTAAGCTTAGAATTTCAGCACATAGGGTTACGGTATGTAATGTGGGTCTAGTCCTTTCATTCGGCCTATCACGCAAATAAATAATTAATTAAGGAATATTACACAAAAAATAAGGAAAATATTGATCACTGATGGTTGATAAATGTGTACCACACACAAATCAATTTATATCACAACATTTCAATACATTTTCAGCTCTCGTAAGTAATAAAACTGGTTGAGAATATCACAATGTTCGGAGTTTTTAGCCGCCATGACTTATAAGGTTAAGATGGGAAGGTTGACTGACGATCATCAAATGGCCTGATTATGGCATTTATTGATTGGAATTACCTGATAATACACACTAGACGTAAAACTTACAGTTGCTGTTTGAATATTTTATGTTTATTTTAATTGTTTAACAACGTTTTCACAAGTAAAACATGGACCCAACTTTAGGGACACATTTCTTTTCTATGTTCCTAACTATGGCCCATGAAATTCATTTGACAGCATATAGCAATAAGAGTAACGTCAACAATGTTGTTTTGCATTTGGATGATAAGGAACGAACAGGAAGGGAGATTTTTTCTGCCAAACCTGTATAATGAACATCACAATGTTCTGATTTAGATATTCTGCGGTCAAAAGACGATAAGCGAAATTTTTAATTTTTAATTTTTAAATTGAGTGATTTAATGTAGTTTTCGTAAAATTTTCTCTAAGAAATGTTTTGAGGAATGAAGAGCATTAAGTTAACAGTGATAGTGATAAAAAAAAATACATCAGAAAACGTTACCAAGAGCGTTTTTTTGAGGATCAAACAAGATAGGACGAAGTTGCATCCATAAATAGACCCAATTTGGGGACAATAGACCCATATTACATACATTTCCCTCGTGAGTTATTGTCTTAAAAAAAGTAAGTTTTTCAACTTTTCGTGGTTTCTGATAGCAAACGACATGATAAGCATATCTAAGCATACCATTTAGCAGTAGAATATCGTTTGCAGGTAAATTCATTGATGAGTTATGATTAAAAACGTAATCGATGGCTGCATATTAGACCGAGGTTAGGGACGTATACCCTATAGCTTAAACTATAAGGAACAACTTTGCTCAAGACAGCATTACGATTCATGTGAGAATTATGGAGATATTATTTTTTGAATTTACATATAGGTATATGCGTTTTGATCGCTTATTGAAATAAAATACAGGCAGCTTATGCAACGTATCTACTAGATAACCACTAAAAAAATAAAAGTTTATATTTTCCACAGGCCAACATCCAGACTCATGTCATTAGGTGATAAGCAATATTTGAGCTGTTTTTTAAGTAACACAGGCTGGCACTTTATGTTTACTGTTTGTATAGTGGGCCAGTCTAATGGTCACCCTAACGACTAAATAACAAAAATACGGGGCTAATATTTTGCGATAAGGAACAAAACTACTATTTTTTACGAATTTCTGAGAACCACTATATCGTTTTGTTATGGAATGGCTGTATTAGAATGCTAATTTACTGTTTGGGACTCGAAGAGTTAAATTTAAGATGAATTGCACAGTTATAAGATGGTTAAATATACTCCACCGTCTCGCTTAGCGAGTATGAAACACCAGACACAACATTCGACTCAGTGTTTTTCAGAGCGCAGATCACCCCGATTCGCAAGCTCGCTGCTCCCATATATGTACGCCTGTAGGTAAATGCGAAACACTCTCAAATGGCAGAATCGAACTCTCAAAGTCTCTTGATCATTAAGTTAGATTTTTACTGAATGATCAAGAGACTTCGAGAATTCGATTAAGCTTAGTTGACTTTGCCATTTGAGAATTCAAATTTGCTGAGATTAATTTAGGCGCATCTTAATGTTCAGTGTCCCCTTGACCACAACAATGTAATCTGCCAACCATTTCCGTTGAATTTCAATCCCTTGTTTTCAAAGCAAATGGCATCTCCTTTTACGGCGTCCCTTCCAAGGAGAACGGAAGTAGCGATTATCGTTCATCATTTAATCATTTTTTTTTCGTTATTTATAACTGCTCGTTGCGCGATGATGATTATCATTTCATTTTTTGCACTGCGCCACGGGCGGCGGCGGCGGCGGCGGCTGGAATGGAAGCAAATATCGGCCCGTTGATTTATTACTCCTGTGCAACAACGCAACATGGGGTAACTCGATACCCAATTGAACACGGCGGCAGGATGCAATGCAATCCGTTGATTCCATCAAATACGTAACTGGAATAGTGTTTCTTTTTTGAAGAATCGTGTGGTCATTGGATCCATCGTTTTGGTTTCCTCCCGGGCCGGGCACTGGGCCCGGGTGATACAAATCTCCGAACCAGTTTATGGTTGATAATTAGACATAATGAAAAAGGTATCAATTTACAGCAACCTGTGCGCCCAAAGTGAGTTGATGGTGCACGACGAAACAAAAGGCGATCAACGATAATGACTTCAAGATCAACCAGAAGTCGACGATGATCGAAAAGGGGATGACGAAATGGGTGCCGGGTACCTGGCATCATCTACCTGATTATTGCTGCCCTTGTAGACACACAGTTTTATGCCGACCGATTGGCAGGAAGCGCGTGACCGTGGTGTGAGGTGGGGGGAAAACAAGACATCAAGAAATTTTATTTCAAGGAAGAAGGTTTTTTATGATATCCGGTGATTATTTCACTTTGGGGCTATCTCTGTCACAGTGCACGGGCTTCCCTGTGTTTTTGGATGATTTTTTTTTAAATTTATTTCTTATATGCTTTTATGGGCCGGGTGTGGCGGATGGCCTCTTGGAATTGGTTGAAATTTTTTAAAATTGACATTTTTTTCCCTGTCCATCATAGCTATCTTTCAACATGAGCTTCTTGGTTTTATTTTCAGATTCTACCCCAATTTGTGTTCAATTCTCGTGATCCAATTGTGATGGGCGTCATTGTGGAAGCTGGTATCGTGAAAGAGGGAACGCCGATTTGTGTGCCAAATAAAGAGGTGAGTGTTTTGAGCGTTTTTAATTTTTATTAAGCTATTAAAAGGGAATCCTGTATTGCATTCGTCATGATAGAAATCTAGGACTGCCTACGGATTTCTATTCATAGGGGGGATCTGAAAAACCAACTATCCAATACATACATATTGAAAGAGGAGTTATTTTAGTGATGTGTCCACGATTGGGATGAAATGGACTAACGACAATAATAGTCGTCGAAAGACGATCAATTTCGATTCTTCTCAATTCTACTATGCCTTGCTCGTCGCTTCGAGGCAGCCACTGCCGTACCCTTCCTGCTGCATGCTATCGTAGAGCGTAGAGCGTATTGCCAAGCATTTTATTATTATCTCAGCTTCCAGTATAATTTATTATATCCGGTCCATTTACAACCCTTTTTTTCCTATACTTCGCCACTGCTGGACTCAGGGTGAGGAGAGCGCGAGCAAGAGAGGAAGATGTCTATGTGTCGCTATATCACAAGATGATGACGATGCTATTCAATGGCACGTAGTAGTGACCGTGACTATGATATAGTAAGTTGAGTGAGAGCGTGAGCAGATTCTGGAAATATGATGCAAAAAATCACATGCACACGGAGTATCTTGAAGGTCAAAAACAATTGGTGGCAACTAATCGAAGGACGCTCCGTTCTGATCCGTCGGAACTTGTCAGGCAGGGGTTTCCGCTCCACTTGGAATCTATCTGACAGACATAGCTAGCAACGGCTGAGAAAGAGGCCTAGAAAAAAAAGATAATTTATAGCCATGCTTGTCGGGAGGAGAGAATGCCGCCCGCGCAAATTTGGAGCGCTCTGTGTACCTAATTTACTATAGACAAGTCTATAACTGCCAACGAGCTGGGCAATTTGCTGTGTGTATTTCTTTTTTCGCGAAATTTGAACTGCTGCTGACGTCAGTGATTCCGTAAATATTTGATTTCGGAGCTCTTGTGCGGTGATGAAGTAATTCGACGACGGCTACTGCCACTGAGGAATTCCAATCCCAAATTGAACAATTTGTTTCTGCATGTTTAGTTATTAGCAGTTTTCCGTAAAATCTGTGACATCGTGAGTTTGCTGCAATATCAGGTTCACTCAAAAAATTTCAAACTCGTCATCAAATTAATAGGCATGCATCATGATTCGTCTAGATAAGTGATCTAATCATATTTGTATGTGAATACACTTGTTAAAATCATCCATACAGTAGCTTTTAATGGTTTTGTCATTGATTTATAAGAAACCATTATTAGGTCACTAAATGATACTATTCAGTTTTAATCCAAACGTTTTATCAAACAGCCCTACAACAGGCGATACAATGATAATAACTTTAGTTTGGAGCAAATAGTTTGGATAAAAATAGGGCTTTGTTATAGACTGGAAAACGTTGTGAAATATTATATATACCATAATGAGCTAGCTTTAAGGCTTTATTTAAACTCAAATAAAGCCGTAGGGAATTGAGAATGTTGCTTGGGTAGAATATTTTATTTATTTATTTGTCGTCAATCAGTGTAGACCGTTTTACAATAGTGCTGTTGCCTTACATGCTATTTTAAAACATACGTTTTATTTGAAATTGTCAGTAAATGCAGACTGCATATACAAATATCTAAAAAATAAAAATTGTTTTAAACTTAACGAGATGAAATCCGAGATGAAGCAGTTAGTGTTCTCCTTACTGTATCTTTAGACATCGTTAGATCTATATGCTCACAATAATTATTATACACTCTCATCATTCTATTAATTGGTCCATTTTTACCATAATCCGTTATGTGAGGTGACAGTTGAAATACATTTCGAGTTCTTAACATGCGTGATGGTACGTAAAAATTTAATCTTGCTAATATTTTTTCTGAATTTACGCGTTGTGAGATAATATCATTAACAAAGGAAATCATGGAAATTTCTCTTCGTTTCTTAAGTGTTTCAATGTTTATCAACATGCAACGGGACTCATAAGAAGAAAGGGGAAAAGAGGTCCAGCCTAGTTTCATAAGAGCAAATAACAAAAACTGTTTTTGAACTGATTCTATACGATTTATGTAAGTTTCATGGTATGGAGCCCAAACCACACTGCAATATTCGAGAATTGATCTCACGTAAGCTATATAAAGTGTTTTGATGGTATATGGGTCTTTAAAATGATAACTAAATCTTTTTATGAATCCCAACATATTATTTGCTTTGTGAATTGTGGTATTCACAAGATCTACAAATGTCAACTTCGAGTCAAGAATTACTCCCAAGTCCCTAATTTTATCACACCTTACAACCAGCTGGTTTCCTAGAGTACATGTAAAATCTAGAGTAGTGTGTTTTCTGGAATATGATATAATATTGCATTTTTTAACATTAATATCCAGCAGACTTTTAACGCACCAATTGTAGAAAACATCAATTTCATTTTTAAAATGTGGCAAATCATTATTGTTAAAGATTTCCATGTTCAGTTTCATATCGTCAGCATATATGAGCACATTTAAGCGATTCAACACAAACTTCACGCCATCCACAAATAAAATAAATAATAAAGGACCTAAATGAGATCCCTGTGGAACTCCCGAGGTAACATTAACTGACGAGGACATTTTTCTTTTAAAGTGGACCATCTGTACTCTTTCTGTCAAGTATGGTTCAATCCATTTTAAAAGTGTACTTGTCATACCTAAACGTTTTAATTTAAAAAGAAGTAAGGGAATGTCTACTCTGTCAAAGGCCTTACTAAAGTCAGTGTATAAGGTTTCAACGGTATTACCTCTATCCATTGCTTCAATAGAAAAGTTTACAAATTCCAACAGATTAGTAGACGTTGACCGACCTTTATAAAAACCATGCTGATTATTTGAAATGCGATGCTTAACCTGATTAAATATTTTCTGGTTAACAATTGCTTCAAACATTTTAGGAATGCATGACATAATTGCAATACCTCTATAGTTTTTAATATCTAACCGTTTGCCAGATTTAAATATTGGGACTAAAAATGATTTCTTCCAAATTTTTGGAAAATAACCTGTTTTGAGAGATAAATTGTAAAGCCAAAACAATGGTTTAACAAAACTAGTTGCTATTTTTTTTCAATAAAAATGGAGGTATTTCATCAGGACCAGGTCCTTTGCCGGCATCGAGACTTTCAAGAGTCATAAAAATTTCTTTAACAGTGATATTATTAACTGATACGTCATTTTCCCCTTCATGTAGGTAAGAAAAATAGTTCAAATCGAGAGCATTACTGGATTTCTTATATGTGTTTTGGAAAAAACGAGCAAATAGGTTACAAATATCCACACTATCAGTGCTATCACACTCTTCAAACTGCATGCGTGATGGGAATGTACATGACAGGGCTGGTAGCAGGTCACTTTTTAGTGACTTGGTCACTATTTTGAAGCCAGTCACTAAAAAGTAACTTTTTACACCAAAAAGTCACTAAAGTCACTATTTCCCTAAAAAATAGTCACTAAAGTCACTTTTTCAGTACTAAAACAGAGTGAAATTTAAAAATATCAACAAAATGTTTAAATTGTGTACTTGGCACTGTGACACACAGTAGTTTTAAGAAAATATACATTTCTGTTAAAAAATTAAAATTTTAACCAGGGTGACCAGTGAACCGTAAAACTTTAGAACACCAGGAAAACTATTGGAAAATGCCTTCAATTTCGATTAAAAATCGGAGAAAATGAGGAGGTTTCCAGAAAATAAATTGTAAACCATGAAAACTTTCCAAAGGTATTTGTCTGTGATAGATTTTCAATGGATGATTAAGAACTTTAAAAAATCCAAAGTAAATTTTAAAGGATTCTAGGGATGACACCCAAATATATAAGAAGAATACAGAGAATACCAAAGTACAGACTACGAAAGTCTCATGTAAAATTATGTGCTCTGAGGACCGATTTCTTCATCTCCGCTTAAATATTAAGCCAGATGTACCTATATGTATAGATTAACTTGGCTTAACACATACGAGCATCGCTTTTGATTATTGTTTAAATTATTAGAGACGCAAAATTCAGCTCCGAAACAATTTTGGAAATAATTCCAGTATAATTGAGAGTGCATTTAATGAGAGTTCTAGGTCCAATTCTAATAAGAATTGATGAGGTTAGAAGGAAAGGGATGTAAGTGACTATGATCTATTCTCTTCATCGACTTTCTCTTTTGATAGTCACAGCTTTATAAACAGATTTTGCGTTATTTCTGCCACATAGTTTGAAAAAGAAGGTTCTCATCTAGCATCCAGAATGGCACATGAATCAACGAATGTGTTTGCAGCTGAATTATTATCGAGAGAGAAAGTCGATGAAAAGAATCGATCAAAGTCACTTACACCCCTTTCCTTTTAACCCCATCAATTCAAAATTAGTTCTGAAATTGCAAGAAAATTCTTAAGAGTTCGATATATGGAATGGAATCGAATTTTGAAGGTTCAATCTCAAAGGAATTCTGAGAAGAGTTTAAAAGTTATTCTGTACCGGATTTTTGTTTTGAGAATTCTGAGGAAATACTATGGGAATTCTAAGGAGAATACTAATTGAATTTCCAATTGAATGCAGGGAAGAAGTCCAAGATTATTCTAAGCAGAAATTTATGGTATTTCTGAGAGAGATTGCATGGAAATTCTAAGGAGAACTCACATAAATTTAAAATGGATTTATGGAAGGGGCCTTCAGGGAGTTCCTAGAAGAATCAATACAAAATAGAAAATTATCTACTTTAACTAATCATGTGTTATTACTTCATGCGTGAATTTGAAGATATACATAGTTGGAGATGCTTAACGTCAAATATCAGACTTAGGCTGAATTTTCGAGAAGGTTTCTGTAAAAATTGATTCCTGGTCTGTCAGAAATAAGTCTGGTACAATAGCAGGTTCATTTGAAAATTTTCCATCTGTTCAATTTAAGTGAAAATCTGCCAAATGAAACGCAGCTTTAAAGTGGAGATTTTATACGATAGATGAGGAGATTAAATTATAGAGTTGATAGT